CTGGTAGTTTTCGTTAGTCTGCGTGTACGAAGGCTTGCTACGTTGAAGCCCACCACCCATTTTGCAACTTGGAGGTGTTGAAGGCAAGTTATGCGATAGCAGCGAGGAGAACCTGTTCACTGTTCTTGAGATATCTATAGAGCAATTGGGTTCAATCTTACGTGTTTCCCTACTCGGTATCATGAGTTTTGTCTTCCCACCCTTTATTTTCAGAGCTGGAGTCTTTCGTTGTCTTTGTGAGAAGAACTTACCTTCATTCAAGTCTGCTTGTGGAATATCTTTAGGAGGACTAATTTTCAAGTGTATAGGTTTAGTTGGATGTGTGTTGTTACACGACTCACATTTTAGTACATTACTGAACGAACAGCTGGGATTAGTCATGTCGTTATGGTTTTTGGTGTCAGTTGGGGTCCGTATCTTATCCAAAGGTTTCTGATCTGTAGACTCATCTAGATCAACAGAGTGATCAGCCGTATGTGGAGTGGTGTCATGCTTATTGTTCGTGTGTTTTAAACTATTTGCTGTGTTGCAAACTGTCTCTGGCTGATTATTAACTTTAACACTCCCATTCAATTCTATCGCTTCGCGTCTTCTTACACGACGTTGACAGGGCGTAAGGTCTGGAGTGACTTTTATATTTTTGTATGGAATTAGTGAGCTAATATTTTTGCTCGAATTAATAAACTGCTTAGCATCGTTACAACAGTCAAACATAAACAAAATGGGGCAAGTCGATCTGTCTGACTTTTTCTAAGGCGGATGTTTTGAAAAGTTAACGTTCGGCATACCGCATGCTCTAAGGCAAATATCTCTTAGCTTAGATGGGTGTGTGCGGTCGGGAAGGTTATACACGACTGCATTGAAGGAGGACATCACTCTTTTCGTCACTTCTTCAGCCACAAACTCCAAAATACACTCAGCTTTAGTGAGTTGCTCAAGATTTCTGTCTGTGTCAAGGCCCCATATATGAGTGAGTGGTGCTAATTGCTCAAGTTTGCCGTTAATTTTGGATAGAGAGTTTTGTAGCTGTCGGATTTCATTACTATATCTATCAGTTTTTCGGTGTGTATGAAGTGGACCATTGGACTCTTTAGTTTTTGAAATTTTAGACTTAGGCCTTGGTAGCATATACTGTCTAGTAGACTGTACTGACTTTTCGATGCACGTAGGTGTAATGTCTTGTATGTCAACCGGTCTTACCGTTGACATACTGCATGTAGAGATAGAGGGGCTGCAACATGGAGAATCTGATGACGATAAAGACATTTGTGTACAATACACATATTTTTCAGTAGTTAAAGGTTCAACATTGTCAAGCACTGAGTCGTCAGTTGTAGGGGTTACAGATTTGAACCTTTTATTTGGCTTAGAATTTGGTGAAATTCCTCTTTTACTGCAGTGATGCTAGCTGCTGTGTTAACCGCGTTATTTGTTGTTGGATGTTGGTAGATGAGCTATCTATATCAATGCGTTTACTAGGAGAGTTCATAGTGGGAAAACAAAAAAACTGGACTAGCGTGCCAAGTAATAAAAAATGAATATATATATATATATATATATATATATATATATATATATATAAACAGTAAACGTCTATAATGAATTCAAGGCTCACCAAATAATTGTGGTGGACCGAACAGATATGAACACAAAAAATATAAACAAAGTTATTAAAAATCAATAGTAATATTAATATATATAATAATTTGTTACAAATACAATAAAAATTAGGGACGTTACTTAAATTGGTCAAAGGTTGCGTGTTATGATTGGGTCCAGTAATGTAAATCCACAATTATAAACGTTTGCTGATTCTGAGCAGGTTGGCGAACTCTCTAGTGATATAGTCCAACGTAGGATGTGATGTATTCCGATTACAGTCTAAAAATGTAGATAGTATTTGATTTAGACTTCAGTTAGCTCAATCACAAATGAAAATAGAACGAGGAGTGTGTGAGAAGCAGTGTATTAGTTAGCCAGCAGCGGTATGTCACGCTATGTAGTAGTACAACGGAAAGTGTGTTCAAGGCCATTTACTAATACAACAGTTACAGTCATTTAATGTTAAATATACATACAGTGGAAGGTTGACAAAATAAATACAAATAACATTGAAAACTATTTACAAAATAAGGTTGTCGGGTCTATCTCCACAAGCTCTTGCTTGGAGGTGCACCAAGTTCACAACCTCGAGTTTAACAATCTTGAGGAATCCATATAGTGCTCTGTAGGATTGTTTAGTATTTCGAAGTGTCTAGTCGGTGTCATTTACAGGAAGCCAACTGCCGACATCGAGTACGATAGTCATATGCTGGAAGGACTATCCCGCTTTACCCGTCTCGGTTTCACACACATCCTGATTCTAGGGGACTTTAATCTCCCTAGAGTCAACTTCGCGTAACACACGTACACTGGAGGCGACAACTCAATTGAAGCTCGGTTCTTCAACCTCATCGATGACTTAGGCTTATATGAAAATGTGAGGTCGACAACTCCATCGCGCTTAGATTGTGTATTCACAAACGAAGAATTCCTAGTTGACAACCTCTCAATCCTGGCTCCTCTGAGAAAGAGCGATCATGCCGTCATAGCCTTCAGTTTTGTCATCAAAACTAAGCTAAGGTATCCGAACAATAATTTGCTTTGGAATTTTAAACGGCTGAATGTTCCAGCTCTACATGACTATCTACAACAGGTGGTTTGGGATGTTCAACCTCAACTCGATGTGGACGGTCATTGGGACTTCTTACTGCACACCCTCTTGTGTGCTACAAACCATTCAGTTCCTCAAACGGTTCCCAAAAGCTCTAAGCCACGTACAGTAATCAAGAACTGTACCCTTCGCCTGCTAAGCCGCAAAAGGCACTGTTGGGTGGAATACAAACGAACTAATAACGACGGAGCGTATAGTCAATATAAACATATCAGGAACATATGCACGAAGGCTATAAGAGAAGACAGGCTTCAGTACCAGACAAAGCTTATGGACAAATTTGCCTCTAACCCTGGTAGCCTATTCCGTTATGCAGCCTCTCTTCGTCAAGCCAAAACAGGAGTTTCTCAACTGCTAGGTCTTAACGGCCCGACCAACAACGATGGTGACGCCGCTAACCTTCTGGCGGCACATTACTCTCAAACATTTCAACCGGCTGACATCAACTTTATTGACGACAGTTTCATCTGCAGTTCCACAGGACTTTCCGAAGTGGACCTAAGCGCTGACTTGGTATTCCGGAAACTGCAGCACTCAAGACTAGATACTTCTCTTGGCCCGGATATGGTTCATTCTGCCATACTGAGGGAGGCAGCCACAATCCTGGCAACGCCGCTTAGCGTGATGTTTTCACACTCGCTAAGCCGAGGAAAATTACCAATTTTCAAATAGGGTCGACGCAATGAAAGTTCAAGTTATCGGCCGGTGGCTCTTCTGTCATTACCTTCAAAACTCATGGAGTCCTTGATATGTGATGGTTTAAACGACTACCTACTGTCCCTAAATTTCTTCTCACACCAACAGCATGGTTTCAGGAAGGGTTAATCTTTCTACGGTGGACAGATGGACAAGCATCCTCGATCGCAAGGGAAAGGTTGATATCATTTACCTTGGTTTCTCAAAAGCTTTTGATAAAGTTAACCACTTGTGTCTTATCAATAAGCTCAAACGACTAGGTATCAAACCACCTCTAATCGATTGGCTTACTTCATACCTAGAAAATCGACACTTTAAGGTTACGGTTAATTCCACTTTATCTCAGGGTATGGAATGTCCTAGTGGGGTCCCCCAGGGCTCAGTATTAGGGCTTCTTCTCTTCTTGATCTATATAAATGATCTTCCTCAACAGGTAACGTCAGACGTATTACTTTTTGCCGACGACGTGAAACTTTGGAGAGAGATACGCAACCAAGACGATACACAGGCACTTCAGGAGGATCTGACTCGACTTCAAAGTTGGGAAGACAATGACGGACTTACCTTTAACACTTCAAAGTGTAAAGTAGTTCATCTGCGACATGTCGCAAACTACAGTTACAACTTAGGAAACTCTTCTCTAGTAGTAATTCAAGTCGAAAAATATTTAGGAGTCCTTGTGCTCCTTGATTTAAAGTCTTACGCTAACTGTGACAAAAATGCCTTCCGAGAAAACCTTGCACTGGTAACATTGAAGCGCATTTTTGGCCAGTTTGACGGAAGAACTTTCCATACAATCATCAATAGTTTTATCCGTCCCCATTTAGAGTGCGGAAACATAGTACTCCCCCTTCCACTCCAAAAGGACAAGGTCACTTTGGAGCGTATCCAACGGCGAGCCACGAAATCAGTTCGAGGACTCAAATCTAAGCCTTACGAACGACACCTCCATTCACTAGACCTTTACCCATTAGAGTATAGGCGTCTTAGAGGTGATTTATTAATGGATTATAGTATTCTTAACACTTCTGGACATCCTCTTAAACACCTACTTAAGCTTATTTCGAATAATAACCTAAGAGGTAACACCCAGAAACTGGAAACTCAACGTAGCAAGACGGAATGTAGACACAACTTCTACTCCTTAAGAGTTGTCAAAAGCTGGAATTCGCTGCCGGCCGAGCTAGTCGAAGCGACTTATCAGGAGTCCTTCAAGAGGCAACTTGACCTATTCTTAAGGACCGAGGACAGTATCACACAATGATTTACCAATTTCTTTTCCTCTTTTATTTTTAACATACCTAGGTTCCTGCCTGGAGGATTTGGTGATCCCCTGCTACTAGACACGGAAGCCTGTTAAGCGAAAGCTTCTTCTATTCCGTCTACAACTAAGTCAACTAGCAACTTTAATTTTAGTGTATAACATGGTATTTGCAGACCTATTAATGTCTGAAGATGGAAATCCTACACCTACTAGCCACGAAGGTAAACCATTTGGTTGGTGTGGCTCAGTGTAAAGTAGCTCACTGTGAAGATATTGAAGATCGGAAGCTCTCTGATTCCAAAGCGCACAGTTTGTGACTAACGAAACATGGTTTCTGTTGGTATGATAAGTGCTAAACTATCAGACTTACATGACAACATTGCGAAATTGTCTCATGAATTGGACCTTAAACGTAAGGAAAAGGAGTCTCAAAGAGGCTTTGTCAAAAAGGTAATAGGTTCGGATTGTTATTTAGTAGTTTAGCTTGACTCAGAAATCAAAGATAAACATCGATTTCTAGATAGCTTAGAACAAAAGCGTGAACAGCATGAAAAAACTATCAGATTTAATACTGAGCGCCTATGTGAGCTTCAAAAATCTGCTGCTGAGTGTCAGAAGTACCAAATTTACTAAAAATATTTGTTCTAGAGCACATGAATCTCTAGAAAAACGACTAGAAAGTCAAGAACAATCAATTCGTTCTCTCGAAGACGAAGTTATTGAAGCACAAAGTCTTGCAAAGTCTTCAGCCCAAGTTTACGACGAGGTTTTAATAGTCAGTTATTTTGAATTCTTCAGACTCTTAAGTTACTACAAGAAAAATTGGAGATTTTGGAAAAATATGATCGGAAAGAAGAATCTCTTACCAAGTATTATATTCGAACGTTTTAACTCGCCTTTAGGACTATCAAAGAGTTGAGAGATGAAGCTAATTTGCATGGGAACAGACTACGTCGCATTGAGACACAAGGAAACGAGGTTCGATTTACTTGGTTGTTTTTGTTATTTATAGAAATCCTCGTTTTAATAGTTCTCAAAAGTGACACACATATGCTTGTAAATATGGCTGCTCGCCCTTCACTGCATATAATCTGTCTTGGATGTAGTGGGACTAGATTGGGAGTGCTTCAGCTTAAAATAATAGTCTTATAGTGTTAGGATTTTATGAAGTTTTGTTAGTGATAATTTCGGGGGTGTATGGGGTACAGACAGTTGAGAACGCGTTTACTGCATCCATGAGGAAGTGGAACTTATATATGTATAAAAATGACAAGTTATTGTTCATTTATTCGTAGATCAAGGAACGAACTTCAACCGATTGAAATTCATCTTTAACCCGATCAACTACCTCATATAAGTGCTGATAGGTCTACACGCAGTAGATAAGTAACTCTTAACTCAGCCCTAATAAACATTCTGTACACTACAGCATAGTAGTATTACTATCTCAGATTTATGTTGTACTCAAAACTGGAGTAGTTCCTGCAGAGTCAAGTGAATTATCTTATCTCTATCTTGTAATGAATTGCTCAATTTGGCTTGATTAGATCCTTTGGTTTGTAATGAGTTAAGCCAAAAAGCTTTGGATAATTTTAAATGGTCCGAGTATTCACTTTAAATTCCTTCGTAGTATTTTCGTTTAGGTCTTCATTAATTGGAAAATAAGTGACCTAAAAATTAATTCCCTTCAATCGCTTATAGCATTTTATCGCCTCCAAATGCCTTGATACGACCTAGGGTGGAAAGAGTCAACTCTCCTTCCTGAAATGCTTTCAAACGACCACGCGTATACAATCAAAAAAGGTAAGTCCTACTCATTGCCTTCTCGTGGAGGGCGTGTTCGTTACGAAATTGAAAGGACAGAAAGCGAATTTCCGGTGCTTTAACCGGGTCGGTGGATACGGAAGATTCACCTAGGGGAGTTAGAAAACCCTGGATCCAAACCAATGGTCCACATGAGCTACACGATCCTGAGGGGAAAATGGCGTATGAACCAATTGTTGGTCACTGGCCACCATGGGAGTGCATCTCCTGACGCTACTCCACTCCCTTGTGGATTAGATCCTCAGGTCAAAGGCTCCAGGAAAACCACCTGTTTCGATCAAGGCACTCGGACAGTATCCCAGCCCTCACACAAATCGAATGACTTGTGTGGCGCATATTTATTTGGTGTTTCTGAGTACCAATATTTGTATTCAAATAAATAAGTAGTATTTTATCGCGTTTGATTTGTATTTATATCATATATGTAGGCTTTTATTGCGCGAGAAACTTCATATGACTAGCTTTATTGTCTTTGATTTCTAATTGTATGGGGTCCCAACTCGATATAGTCTTGTGAATAACCATTGCTCGGCTACATATCGTTTCTTTCATCTATCGGCCAGTGTTCTATCCATTCATTTTGACAGTCGTAAATTTCGTCTGGTCAAGCCATAAAAGCATCCCCCATAAAACGAATATAAACCTGTTTGTGTTATACTTATTACAGTACTCTCACTATTCAAGGTTCTGCACTTTGCTACATTTTCCACTAAATAGCTGTATTGTTTGGCTATACTCGATGAGGCCAGCATCGCATCTAACTTCTCTCCAACTTTTTTAGTATTTTTATGAGTCCAGGTCTTGTATGATTTTATTTGAAAATTGATTTCTTTACAGGCAAATAAACGCATAGAAATGCTGGAGGAAAAAATCAGGGAACTGACAGAACAAATTAATTCCGTAAGTAACTCATGTTTTTCTTATTTACAAGGAGATTTGGGGAGTCTAATTTTGAATTAAAAGTAGAACACCCATAAAAAGCTTATTAGTAAGATTCTATTTCAGCCTTCATCTGCTGACAGCGTTAACTATTGTATATAAGTGTTACTGTTTTGGCCTTTTTGCTGTTAATAATTTTTAAGAAAGCATATCCATGTATGGATATCTCATGTGTACAAAAGGCAAGTGGTGAATAGCATTCGGGGCTAATATTTACTGTAAGGTAATTTATTTTCACTCATCAACCGGGTACATGTTCATGTGCTTAGCTTTCAACCACATTGTGATGACTAGCGATACTGTCCGGTTTTTGGATATAAACTAGGTGGATTGAGCTTCGGACCTGTGACTCAGTGGCTTAAAGTCAAACCACTGATCCATTGCTCCAGTTACAAAAGGAAAAGTCACAACCTGATGTTTATAGTCATAGTTGCAAATAAAATATCATCGTTTTTAATCATCTGGTTACTTAATTATAGTTTTTACGACTTACGAAGGAATATCGCAATGACCTGCTTTATGCAAGTTTCAGTATAAACAACTGCAGAAATGAAGGTAATCAATCATTCGAAGAGCACCTAGTTTTGCCTTCCACTTTTAATTAATAGAGTTATGACGGTATACATTTTAGACAATCTGTTTACTACTTAAAAGATAATGTACCTCCTAGAAGTATAATTTATTCAAAGATCTATATAAATTAACATTTTGAACCTCTATCATTTGGAGTTGGCGAGATGTGTTACTTGTTTTCAAGCAACGTCTACCTCAATGTTTTATTATTGGATGTTAAGGAGTGTCGGAAAGTCGCTGTGGTTGACCATTTAAGCAAAATGCTAATCTATAGAAAATAGTCGACTGTTGTTCTAAGATCCGTAAAATGGCACGAAATTTTCTATTTTAATCTGAAAGAGAAGAAACTGTGAGGAATATATCTTAAAATCGACTGATGTAGTGCGAATACATCAATTCCTTATACCCGCCTTATTTTAAGCATATCTTCACACTCTTTTTACTTACTATTTTAAGTTGTTTCTTTTAACTTGATCCTCTCAACTCGCAACTGTTGTTAATATTCCTATTTTTCTGTTTGTATGTCTATTCATTTGACTTTCTCTGTCTTAATTTAAACCTGAGAAAATTCTTAAAGTTCATGGTTTTGTTATCTAAATTGTTTAAAAGAAAATGAACTTTCTCAGCATTTTAATTTCATACAATTTCATCTTATGTTTTGTATCTATATAAATAAGATCAACCTCTAAGAAAATGATTAAAGCAAACATTACCTCTTGTATTACCTACATAACAAAGTTATATAGGAACAAAAATCGAAAAACCTCGTAGAATACTACCCGAAGTAGCCACGTAAAATGGTAACATAGCTAAAGCTATATAATGCAACTCATTTACTAAGTACTTGTTTGTGTTTGACTTGGAGTGTTTGTTTATGTAGTATCTAGTAGTATTACCATGTTGCCCTCACCTAAGTAGATAGAAAGGCACTTCAAAGTGAGGCAAAGGATAAACCTACTGATGAAACTTCCTCGACTAGATCTGAAGCTTGTATGATTTTCACAGATTTCTCGGATTCAGTTCTGATAGCCATGATAAGTTAGTAGATGACTTACTACTTCAGTCATTCGAATTTTTCAGCTTTCATGACATCTTTACCTTTGTTTTTGTTTATAAACTGGAATAATAGGCACTCTGAATCGTTTAGATGTAGTTGTTTGACTACCAAATTGTAACTAATGTATCAGTCGTCGTAATAACAAAACTTGGAAGATTACTCTGGGCTTCTAGAATGAATTCATCGATGATTACTTCTATCTTGCGCCTCATAAGTTAAGGCTTCCAAAATTCACTGGTATTTAGAGTCCATACATCAGTCCACCTTTCAGGGTGCTGGTAGTAGATAATTAAAGCTAGCTAAATGGTTCCCCGAAGTGTCCTGTACTTTTATAACAACCTCGATTTCGCTTGCCCATTAGTCTCTGCTTAATTTGAAGAGAGAGAAACCTGACTTTAAATATCCCAGGGTCTCGATGTGATAAGTTACCTAGTTCAATCCTGACACTTGTAACCTATGATTTTGGTTTGTGGCTGGAAAGCTTCAAGGGCAGATGAAAGTAGAACCATCCTATCACTGACCAGTGACCTGACTGGTTATCAAGGATAAAATATAACTATAGCCCGATTTACCTGATTCTTTTAATTCAAAAAGGTACATGAAAAAATAAGTGAATAATTGGGCTACAACGCCAATGAGTGAGAACAGTACAATAATGCAGAAACAGCACAAAAGGATCTTGTTTAAATTGCAATACTATTGTAATGGTAGGTAATATAACACTAATTTGTAGGTTAAGGGAAATCCTATGATGCGTAGGATAAGTTAGGTACATAATTAAGTGTTTGTAATTTACAGATTTCGAGTTAAATCAAACAATACCCCCAGAAATAACTCACTGTTTGTCATTTCTCCTTCATTCTTCTCTTCACTTCTTTCCGATTACGACATAATTGGATCTATCTGTGTGTGTGTGTGATTATCTCACTACCAGCCTTTTAATCAGGTTCGATAACTGTTCACTTCTACATGTAAATGGTATTGTTGTCCTCATCTATTAATCTTACTGTCAATTACTGATCAGCACAGAAAATTTTTGCCAACATATATTCCTACAGCCTTCATATTGCAGAGCATTTGGAGTTTTCATATATTCCTGATTTCGGTCGTTTGCCTTGCAAATTCACTGTTATAATAATCACATCATATTCTGTGACCATTCACAGGCAAAGAATATCAGAAATACGCTTTGTTTGATAATCACAAGATGATTCGTTTGTATTTAAACAAGATCAGCCAAATCTAAGGTGAAATGATACTGTTTTAACTATTTGGGATAGGATTTATATCAGTAGTTATTAACTACAAATTTGAACAATTCAACCAATTATCCAAACAATTTATCATTAACCAAATGTGGTTAGTGATTATTGCCTAAATAGTAACTCCATATTATTTAGTGATTTTGCCAACACTAAATTAACAAACATTCATTTACTGTTTAACCTTGACCTTTATTTTTTGTTTTCCTGCCAAACCTTAATCGTCTTTTCCGTTTGATCATTGATTAATTTGTCAACTGTACATTTTATGGAAGGGTTAGTGTCATTAACCCACTGTTTAAATCATGATAAATACGGAGGGGCACGAATCTAGTACCTGTTGAAAAGACAACTGTTTCAATCACCAAACCATCTGTGTACATTGAAAGATCAGTTCCTGGTTCTTTCAAATAGTTTATGATAGTAACTTGAGTACATTAGTGTTTGTGCCGTCGTAGGTAGACAATATGAATATCGCTTGGAACATTATTACTTCCTGGGCGTAAAATTCATCCAGTCAGTCAGTCAGCTACAACGTAGGACCAGGCACATATATGCATCGGTTCAAGTTGCCATACCGCATTAGCAAAATAAGCTGAACACCGGATTCATAGAAGTAGTTAATTCAATGGTGGTAATATATTAAAAAAAGATTGCTTATGAGGATATTGTACAGGAAGAAAGAATTAGTTGATAGAAAGAACGATATGAAGCGATTTTAATCTCATAGTTTAAGGGAAGACAGGGAGAAGTAATGGTTTTCTTTGTGCAGCAATTATGACATTGTGTGACTGTATAATAGTTACGTTTTCTTTCTGGTCATGGTTTTCTAAAATATTCTTTATTATCTTGAGATGGTGGAGAAGATTTGTAGCTCAGGTGGATGATTTTGGTGGAGTTTTGTTCTCTGAGCTGGATGGTTTGGTCGTGGAGCTTTCATTGTTCTTCTGAACGACATCATCAGCACAAACTTCAGATAGAAGTGAAGTGTCCGAATTTCTCCATATGTGTTTCACATGATCATGATCATGCATAAATATAAGAACAAAAATCAAACCAATGGTAGACACAACCAAAACAAAGAAGTAAACAATGATAAATTTAAGGTCAATAAGAACCAATCAACATCGAAGTGCACATAACAAGCTGTGAAACACATATGGAGAAATTCGAACACTTCACTTCTATCTGAAGTTTGTGCTGATGATGTCGTTCAGAAGAACAATGAAAGCTCCACGACCAAACCATCCAGCTCAGAGAACAAAACCCCACCAAATTCTTTATTATCTACTTCTCTTCACTGCATATTTAGGGGATCACAAAAATAGTTCTTCATGTTCGGCAGATTATCTCTTGGACACTTGTTTTCACCATAAAATTTCCATGATGGTCAAATTATATGTTGCATTAAATAGCTTATTCTTAGTCGTTGAAGACCACTCAATTAAGAGACCTGTAAACTGAAGACATGAATAATAACAGTAACATGATTCATTTACTAGGTACAAATTACTTTGCTTAACTTTAAGCCGCATGTTTTTTGTGTGAGGGTTAGTGTTTCTATTGGGCTGTTCTAACTGATGTCTATAATGTTTGATTTGGAACCTGTTACCTATTGGTTAAAAGATAACTTATGAACCGCTCTCCAGAAGATAGTGTCCCAATATGTGCTATACATTAAAGTTGTTACATATTTCAGCTATTAAAGTGATTTCTACCTTATTAGGTAAGTTTATTTCAACAGGTAGTTAAAAGAGCATGTTAGCATTGGACTCCAAATTACAGTATAGTAAACGTTTGAAATGCCATCATTCGATAAGCACTGATATTGTTTATGTAAAAAACACTTAACTTTTTTATTTATCAGAAACAGGACAACGAAAAGTCCATGCAAAAAAATCTACCATACTTCACATAAACGGCATATCCTCTTAATTAGGTCTAGATTTTTAAATGCTGTTTGTATGTCTTTAAGTAATAAGTTGAACATGTAAATGTTTCCCCTCTGTCAAGGAAGTCCTACTTACTGCCTTTTCGTGGTGGGGTTGTTGTTTACAGAATCGAGATAACGAAAAAACTATGTCCGATGCTTAAACTAAGTTAGTGGATATGGCGGATGTACATAAGGTAGTTAGAAACTTATGGTTCTGAACCAATAGTGCACATGAACCCCAGGGTCTTGTGGCAACAAATGGAATATGAACCCATTCTTGATCACCGGCTACAATGGAATCGCTTTTCGTAACGTTGCTCCACTTCTTATTTATTAGACCTCTGGGTCAACACGTTCGATTAGTGACCCCTGAGAAGATCACCTGTCTCGGTTTTCATACTCAGGCAATACTGCAGTCCATTTTATTTATTTATTTAAACACATAAACATTGATACAAAGAGGCACCAAATAAATATGCGCCACACAAGTCATTCGATTTGTGTGAGGGCTGGAATACTGTCCGAGTGCCTTGATCGAAACAGGTGGTTTTCTTAGAGAGCCACGCCTGGAGCCTTTGACCTGAAGATCTAATCCAGAAGGGAGTGGAGTAACGTCAGGAGATGCACTCCCATGGTGGCCAGTGACCAACAATTGGTTCATACGCCATTTTCCCCTCAGGGTCGTGCAGCTCATGTGAACCATTGGTTTGGAATCAGGGTTTTCTAACTTCCCTAGGTGAATCTTCCGTATCCACCGACCCGGTTAAAGCACCAGACACTCACTTTCTGTCCTCTCAATTTCGTGAAGAACACGCCCTCCGCGAGAGGGCAGTGAGTAGGACTTCCATATCAGTGGTTGTATGCACGTGGCCATGTGAGAGCATTTCGGGAGGGAGAGTGGATTCTCCCCACTCTCGACGGTACCGTACACAAATCCATTGATTTGTGTGGCGCATATATATTTTGATGTCTCATTGTGTCTATGTTAATGTGTTTAAATAAATGAAGACTTATATATATGTATATGTAAATCCAGCTATAAATCTTCAAATTTTAAATGAATTTATAGGCTACTCAACGAGCTGTTCGTGCAGAAGAAGAATCTGAAAATCTAGCCGGTGAATTAACAATTCTAGAAGGTTAGTGAAGTAGTATATACGTTTATTTAAATTATTTTCACAGTCGAGATCATGAACTGATCTTAGATATAGTATTACCACCAAATTTTATTTTTATATCGATTGTTTGTTTTCATTTAAAAAGAGGCAAGACAATTTAGTGAAGAGAATTTTCGGTGAGACTATAATTTATGGATGACCTTTGAGTGACGCTAAATTTACCTTGAAAGTGTCCATCTAGTAACTAGGTCTAATTAAAGGTTATAAACCAGTGTGGGGTATTAGATTTAGGGTTTTCGTCATGAACTGACATCAGCTTTAATTTCAAAACTATAGATGAGTGAATTTCTTGCCAAAATCCGAAACCTGTTATCTTATACCTGATTAGTTCTCCCATAAATTATAGTCTCGCTAAATTTTCTTTTTACAAAAACTGTAAAATCGTATTTATAGTCTATTGAAGATGATCATATCACACCATATGTCAAAGAAAGTTGCTTAATAATCGAGAATTAACAAGAGGTTATAATATTAAATCAATTGTGATTTGGATCATTGTCTACTTGACGAATTTGAAAAGGGTGAAAAATCAATCCAAAACATGAAGGTGATAATAGCGAATCATTAAAATTAGGAAGATTAAAAACATTGGAAGAATGTAATAACATCAAATTACCGTTTATGAAAATAAAGTGAACACAGAGTTTAGGTTTGAAAAAAAAGTGGATTGCTAGCGTTTTTGTATTGTTCCTTTTGAATGTAATCATTGTCCTGTATAAATGATTTTACAGGACTTATCAGATACGGCTATGTGACCAAAGTTCACAAGATGTTCCACTATTGAACTGTTGATTTATTTACACTTACCTTTTGAAGGTCACACAGGTTAATGTTTAGAGATGCGTTTAGAAAGCGTTCACTTTGTATGACCTATGCAATCTACTCCACAAGAACAAGTGAACTTATAAATACCTATATTCATTGTTTTTGAATTGATTGATTATTGAACCATTACTCTTTCGATTGGTTACCTAAACACATACAAATTTGGATGCGCACTGCTGAGGAGTCCCATACTAGGACGAAACGGCCGTCCAGTGCTTCCAGGTTTTCAATGGTGGTCTAGCTTCAATTGACTCATGATTTTAACCTGTGAAATACAATTATATCAAATTGTCATGTTTCAGACATCATTAAAACAAAACTAATAGGTTGTTATTCCGATTCGAATCAATAACTAATGTATAGTTATATAACTTAATTTGCTGTCTAGTTGACTACTATTATTGGTTGATTATCGTGTTGAATTGTTTGTCTGTAAGTTCGTTAACAACCATAAGCAACGTAGAATCTAAAAGATATGTGTATCGAACCAAATTACTAAACCATGAGCACAGCGCGGATGGAATTATCAAGACAGATGCTGGATAGAGTAATATATATAGTAACAATATTACTGATAGTAGAAAAGATAAGACATACAATATGCTTTCAGAAAAAAAGAATGAATTTTTGGAATGGGAACGAAGTATAAGTTAGTTTTGAAACTTAGAATTTAAGGGAAGATAGAAAGTAAATTTGTCCGTAGATTTCGAACTATTTTATTCCAAACCATTGGTTAGAGTAATCATATTGACCACAACCAAGTAGTCAGCATCTACTGATATGAATCAGTTCAATAGTCATTGACTTTATGGACTAATGACCCGTTCTGGTTTGCTCGCTTATCAAGGTAGGGGATGTCAATAGTTTTTAGTGATTAGTTTTGTTTAAAGATGATTTATGTCATGTATTGACCCTAACTTTGAATCCATTAAACACTATGGGGCACAATAGCTGTTTTCTTTTTACTACCAATATTTAGACACCTTAGCTAATGCACGTTAATGATCTTAACAAAGATTAAATTCAAGATTTCTAGCTCTTTTTGTAAGCGGACAATTTTCACACCACATTTTCAATTTTAATTAGTACACTTAGTATTGCGTAACCATCATCAATTATAACCACTGCATTCCAGACATTATTGAAATCTATCAATTATTATTTCATAGTTAATGATAAGAAGAGTCCCATGCTAAAACTTAAAACAATTAGTTATGTTGAGTTGTTTGGAGAATCTTGATTGGTGGCCTATGATCCACTAAGGGATGATAGGCCTAAGTAATAAAGTAATTATGTTGTGCCCCAGCTCTCATGTGTTTTAAATAGTTCTCTACTTGATGTTGTCATTTCATGATAATGTTTCATCTTTGTACCATGATTTAATTAGTAGAGATAGATAATTGTTAAGTTTCTCAAAAATATTGTTTACTTACTAATTAAGATAATGATACACTATTATTGTTAGAGTAATAGAAATAGAAGAACAATTGTCTTTATTCATATTCTTCTTTTTTATTTATTTTAATCTCTTAGACGAAGCAAATGAATGGAATGAGAAATCAAATAATGTTCAAGAACAAATTAACATGGTTCGAGTCACTATCAGTGAAGCTTAATTATTACTATCTACTTCTACTACTACTATTGGGTATGTAACTCGACCATACTCTCTACGACATCTTTTCGTTCCTATACCCTGTTGTTAGGACATTTTAATTGATTCGTTTTTTTTTCGGAGTTAATTTAGTGTTTTTATGAATTTCGCTACTGATTTTTTCCTATTTCTTTCGCGTATTTTTCGTTCTATCTCCATTGAATACTTAATATTACTATTATTACTATTATTAGAAATGTAATACGGTGTATTCGGAATAGTGTATACACATTCACATTCCTTGAATTATAAGCAACTCAATAAATTTCATTTAAGCATCATTCATATTGATTCCAATATACACATTTTTGTTCTTTTATTACTTTTCAAAAAAAAGAAGTGCTTTTTGCTTTGTTTGTTTGTTTGTTATTTTTTTTGCTTGTGAAAGATTGTTTTCTTTGTCACTTTATTTTGTATTCACAACATTGTGTATACCTTTGTTCAAGTGACAAATAATGAATCTATTTAAACAATATAAAACGAAGCTTATATTGAACTTAGTGTTTTTCAATTATTCCATGTTATAGTTAGTATATATTATCCATATGTTTATCATTACTGTTTCTTTTGGATGCACTCCATCGAATGATAATATTGAATAAAGTCATTAGTAATGAATATTGTTGATTAGTGGAAAGTGAATTGTTTAGGAAGTAACATTTTTCGAACTCGTCAGCTGGATGTATCTGTATCTCAAAGTTGATGTTCACTTTTGGACTTGAACCTAGTACCGTTCGCTTGAAACACCACGTTGTCCACTTAGCTACTGAGTCCTGATAACCACTTGCTTGTGCAATGGGGTGAAGTTTAAAGTCATTTGGTATTGTTTGTTTGAATTTTCCCATTGATGTTTAACACTACAATTGATCAGTCTCTTATTGGCATACGTGCATCCTGTGCGGATTTCCTCCATATTATTTATAATGCTTAAGAATTTAAGCAATCTACACAGCATACACATATGGAAAACTGATCAATTACAGTGCTAAACATCAATGGGAAGATTCAAGCAAACAATACCGAATGAATTAAAACTTCACCCCATTGCACAAGCAAGTGGCTATCAGGACTCCAGTAACTAAGTGGATAACGTGATGGCGTTTCAGGCGAATGGTACTGGGTTCGAGTCCTGGGTCGAACATCAACTCTGCGATGCCGTTACATCCAGATGACAAGTCCCAAATTGAACGAAACATGCGTCTTGGATTCCATTGGTAGCCACCAACCATCTTTGATTAAGCCATTCTCGTATGTCGATAACCATTCTTTTTCAATGTTCAATGAATGTCAATATCTAGCATTTCCAAACACTTCTGTTCATTTAGTGAGTCAATCTGCATATGAGAGCATGATATTTACAAGGGATTTCATTTTAGTCACCTAAAGCTATCTATATATGTATTCCATAAACACGACACTAGCGCATCTCCACTTGCTGGATGAAAAAGTAAATAAAGTGAAGTTAGAGCTTGAAATGAAATGCTCAATGAGAATCATGCTTTCAGATACATCATTGACTCACTAATTCAAGAGAAAAACACTTCATATCGCTCAAAAATTGAAGAACGAAAAGCGGATTAATCACGAAATCACTGATATATATCGTATCCAAATGAGGTAGACATGAGTTACTCTGAGTGTTGCTTCATACTGATAATTAGTTTAAACAGTTTCATTAGTTAATTTATTTTGTTGATTGGACCGAAATCTGTTGGATATTCAGGAAAATATCCCAGAAATTATCCTATTAAGTCTAATGCTATTCTTGGACTTCGACATGGTATGATTTTCTTATTGGTCAGTACTTATTTCACGTGTTATTTTCCTACTGGTCAATATTGTACAATGTTATTTTCTATTTTATGGTATGTTGTGGTCTGATTGATTGGTATATAAACAAAGTACGTTTGAAATATAATGATGCATATCTCCGAGGCTATGACTTGCGTTCTGGACTCAGCTGTTGGTCTAGATAGGGAAGCGGGACCAATCAGAACCCTAGGTCGTTCCACGTGTTTGCGCGTCTTTGATCCGATCGATAATTCGCTACCCTTTAATCTGCTGCCGTGTCACAGATATAACAAAATCAGTATGATTCATTCATTTATTTTTCTGATGTAATTTTGGGTTGACTTCAACATGTATTCAAGTGAGGTAAGGGTTTCGCTTCATAAAAAATCTTACCATTTTAATGGTCAGGTGTTGTCTTCCAGCATTCACATTGTTCCATGTGATATAAGTTACTGAAATTAACGATTGTATTTGTTGTCTATTCAAGTTTTATTAATGAAAGCCTGTTTTTACTATGGTACTAATACGTTCGCCCCCAAATGCCCTGGTACGGCCAAGAGTGGGGAGAATCCGCTCTCCCTCTCGGAATGCTGTCACATGGCCACGCGTATATAGCCTCTGCCAGGGAAGTCCTAATCACTGCCTTCTCGTGGCGGGGGTGTTGTTTATGAAAATGAGAGGATGAAAAGCGAATGTCTGGCGCTTTAACCAGACTCCAAATCAATGGTGCACATGGGCTCCAGTATCCTGCGGGGACAAATAGCGTATAAACCAATTGTTGGTTACCGGCTTCCATGGGACTGCACCTCCTTACGATGCTCCACTGCCTTGTGGGTCAGACCTTTAGGTCAAAGGCTCGGGGTGTGGCCTCTCAAGAAAACCACGTGCTTCGGTTTGGACACCCGGGCAATATCACAGCCTCCACACATATCGAATGAGATTTGTGTGGCGCATATGTATTTGGTGCCTCTTTGTATCAATATCTATGTGTTAAAATAAATAAAAAGATAAAAAATAGAGATACGTGTAATTCTTTAGATTGTCAACTTAAATCGATATCTATACGAATATGATTAACAATATACTTGTATTAATTATCTTCTTTAAATTACAATATGTATGATGAAGAATAATTCTATGACAATTTATCCTTAGTCTTTGTTTTATTTTTACTTAGTAAAAAAAACTCATCTCAATATGGTGTCATGTTGGCAAACGGCACAGCTTTTTATTTAGGTGTCTTCTATAAAAATGTTTAGATTTCATATTAACTTCATTTGATCTGTTCAAACTGTGACTAGTTAAGTTCGTATTAGTGTGATACTAGTTCTATGTACATTGTAAACAAGCAGTCAGTCAATCATTAATATCAACGTAGGACTTGATATGGGATATACTTTATATCACCGTTATAGAATCGAACACAATACTAAGATATCAAATACAATGGAAACGTAGACATGTGTGGTACAGTTAAAGATGGAATAAATGTAATTGAATAACCAATAATGACGTTTAAATTAAATAGTAAATGTGCAATTACGCCACTACAAATGATTATAAACAATATCATCCGTGTTGCTTCAAACATTGATTAGGAGCATTGCGCGATCTCCAACTAAGAAAACTATACCTTGCAAAATAATAAAAACAATTGGTCAGATGACCACATGAATAGAGTCCCATGTAAGGTATCTGGAGTCATTTGAAAAGAAGTCCTGGATCTATGTTTCACTCTAGTTGATACTTTTCAAAGGGGAGTGCCTGCCGTCATGGGGAACTGACGCACTACGTGAGGTTTGAACCAGGGCACAGTCTTAGGTGCTAGCTCCAGTCTACTTATATCACATCTGGCCCTCAGTCTTGAGATGTCTGCATTCTATTGACAATTGAGTAGTGGTCTCTGTTAGGTTTCACTACTTCTACCCTGGTCAAATTTCATCGATTAATTTCCAACGAAGCACGAATAGCTTTTAACAAATCTCTTCTATCAAATTACCACGTGATTTTTTCTAAACTTTAAACAGATAAATTATTCTAATCTTTCTTGATCTTGCCAATTACTGACGTATAACCTTGAGCATGTTTTGTACATATGTTGAAAATTAATTTGATCATACGAATGAACTACAATAAAATATCTTTTTTAAACTGTACATCTCTTATCATGAATCTTGGCTTTCTTTTTAATAGATTTTACCAATGTAAATACAATAGCTGACAAAACTAATTATTATTATCATTAGAAATGTTTTCAGTTATGCGCAGCAGTTCGTTCCGTCCGCGCATCAACCAAAGGATGTGTTTACTGTGCAGCAGTTCGTTCCGTCCTACTCTATGGCAGTGAAACGTGGCCGGTAAGAGTAGAGGATATTCGTAGGTTACTAGTATTCGATCATAGGTGTCTTCGAAACATTGCTCGTATATCCTGGGGTCATCGAGTAAGTAACGCAGTTGTTAGGAAACGGGTACAAGGTAATGATGGCAAATCGATTGATGAAGTGGTGAAACTTCATCAGTTGAGATGGCTAGGATACGTGCTACGTAGGCCCAACGACCGACTGCCTCGACGTGCGATGTTCAGTGGTATAGGAGTAAGTTGGAAAAAAGCAAGGGGCGGCCAGACCAAAATGTGTCACAAATCCATGAAGTCAATGACTAGTAGACTGATCCATGTTGATAGGTGTAGACTACCTGGTTGGGGACCGCGAGATGATAGCACTCGATGATTAGAGACCTTGAATGACATGGCTCAAAATCGTTTGCAATGTCGCAGATGTATCCACTCTTTATGTTCTCTTAAATTTTAATCTTCTGAATGCTTGATGTCCTTTGACCATAAACGAAGGATGTTACGTAAGGAATTTGGGCAAAGCTTGCGTAAGGACCGAGAAGCCTGGTGGTCGGAGCGTGCTAATGAGATGGAAGCAGCAGCTGCATCTGGTAACTACCGGAAGCTCTTCCAGCTCATCCGAGCCACTGGCAGCAAGAAGTCTGGTGTGAGTGAAACAATCTGCGAGGATGATGGGATGCCAATCACTAACATCCATCGACGTCTTGGACGATGGGCAGAATTTTTCGAAGTGCAGTTCAACTGGCCTGTTGCTCCGGCAACATCGGTCAGACTGTCCTGCCCTCCATGGCCGGTGACGACTGATCCACCAAACGAGG